GACACTGAGTGACCATTCAAGTCTAAACTGAACATCTGCTTGGAGAAAGTAAAGCAAGGATATTCTACATCATGTAGTACAACATGGCACATAAATATTATATTATAACGTCTGCTCAGTAGTATCACCAACTAACTTTGGTTTTAGCTATTCTAGATTTCCTGATTCAGGGATTGGTTGTGTTTCGTCTGTTTGCTTGTGTTGTATTGCCTGACTGCATCTTTGCCGAAGAGAAAAAATGTTCAGTATGTATATTTGTTCGAGCATTTGTTAAGGATAGAAACTAGTCCCTGTACAAAGTGGCCAATGATACATAGCTTTTCGCATACCGAGATCGTGCTGCGACATTTGCTGAAGACTTTGTGAAATGTTTGAGATGATTTGGAACAAAACTGGCCCATTCACGGATGGGCAACGATATAGGACGATCGTCACAATGCATATATGACCATACCCTGGAAACATACTTTCCACCAATCCAGTACCAGATTTTACTTTTATTTTTACGCTGTACAAGCATATCATCCATGGATGAAAAGAAGTTTATTTAGCCTTGGTTAAGGAAAGTCTGTTTGGTTGGGCCTGAGTAGTCTCCACCAGACTCCTTTGCAGGCTGAATAAATACATGTAGTAGAAATCGGCCTAAAACTTTGTAACTGGCCAGAGGAGTTTGATGGCCACAGAGGGTCCATGCAGGCAAATGGACCCTCTCTGGCTTGCGAACTCCTCTGGCCAATTAAATCCCATTTTTAGGCTGATTTCTACTATTTATTTATTTAGCCTGCAAAGGAGTCTGGTGGAGGCTAGGGCCTGAGCTAGCCTCCATAGCATTCCAAAAACTGGGGGTTTTGGGGGTCTTCAGGGTCTTTGGGAGCTTTTATGTGCTATTTTCTGATTGCATATAGACAACATAGCCGGCCTGGTTGAATTACCACCGTTTTTAGAACTGAGCTAATCAGAAAACAGCCGAAGATCATCAAACCCCAAGTTCTATAAGCCTGCTACGGAGGCTAGGCTTGAGCTCCTCTGGACTTCCAGACCACACACTGAGGAGTGATTCACAACTGTTTATTCTCCCGTCAAACTTGATTGACGAAGACTTCAAATGGAAAAACTGTCCTTTCAATTTCGTATGGGAAGTTCCTCCATTCCCGCAGGAACCCTAACCGAAGAACGGTCCCTCTGTTTCCATGGTGATGACGATCGATAAGTGGACGGTAAATGTTGATTGGTGGGCAGAATTGATTTACAGTCAATCGTTTTTCCGATATTTCTCTAAAATCCATCCATAGGTCAGGATCATAAAATCAGCTACCAGTATTCTTGAAAGTTCATCTGTGTTGGTAGAAGTCATCATAAAATGAAGCAAGTTTAAACTGTAATTTCAAACACAAGAAATTGGACACAGTCATATGTCTCTTATATAGCTGTGTTAGAAATGAAAGTTTTCAACTTGCTTCACAATCATGTGTTCTTTATTAGTAAAAAGCATAATACAACTGTATTTACCTGTCAATATCAATGTAAATTGTTGCCTTTTTAATCCTTCCCCACGACTGATTTTTAAATGACTCAGCAGCCACCATTTCCATGTTAATGTGCCCTAATGGTGCCATTAGGAGGGAAATTAACGCCAAACTTCTGATCAATTTTCGGAAAAAGAATTTCTTTGATGCCCCCTTTATGGAGTAATAAAATAAACACGGGGCTATAGTGCTGCCAAACATGATTAGAAAGAGCCATCTGTCTCCCCCTTTTTCTTGCTGAAAAGCAAGTTTTTATTTTGTATCTTTCCCAGGAGGACATTTGGTTGAGAACTTGGTCAATTCTCATTATAATGTGATATGTAAAAGAAGAAAGTCTCATAAAATGGCCTGTAGTACCCCTTCAACATGTTGTTATGAGGAAAATTGAACAATTTTGGTTGAGAACTTGGTCCATTCTCATTAAAATGCGATATGTTCTCAATATTTATGTTATTTTAAATGCAGCACTGTACTGCTTCAAAAAAAAGAAAGCCTCCTAAAATGACTTGTAGTAACCTAGGTTTTAACTGCAACATGTTATGAGGAAAATTGAACTTGAATTTCGGGCAATCGTTAAAAATCTGTTTAAAAATAAATTGATTTCATGCCCCCAGATTTGAATAAAAACGACATGTGTTATGTCACTGGCAAGTTCAGAGCCGAATACAACAAATCACACACAGATGTTGACTTCTCGTCGTTCCCGCTTGCTTGAATGCTTTCAGAGAAGGCACAAACAGAACCGACCAGTATTTCCAGTATTTCCGTTGCCTTCACTAAAAATTGTAGCCTCCGTAGCAGGCTTATAGAAATGGGGGTTTGGTGGTCTTCGGCTGTTTTCTGATTAGCCCAGTTCTAAAAACGGGGGTAATTCAACCAGGCCGGCTATGTTGTCTATATGCAATCAGAAAATAGCACATAAAAGCTCCCGAAGACCCCCAAAACCCCCAGGGACATGCTATGGAAGATATATTTCTGTTGCCTCTACTAAAAGTCCCAGTATACAGTAATTGCGGGGTGCTTCTCCGTTGCTGACCCTTTAGGGGATGCCTGACCTCTTCCCTTTCTGTGGTCTAACTGACTACCGTTTACCAGCGTTGTCAGGCCCGGCGGAAACAATACCGCCCCTGTTTGGTGGCCGGGCGGTTTTCACAACTTTAAAGGTTCCTGGTTGTAATGAGGGGCGTTTATGCGGGCAGCCACCTTTTAAAAGGTCTTCCCAGTTGGTTGGTTATGAATGACATCATCTATGTCAGTCTGTGTAAAGTGTGAGTGAGTTTTTCTTGGCTAAAACACACACCTCTTCTCTCATGTCCAACAGCTTTGAGCAAGGTAATACTTACTCAGGTGGGGGCTTGAACGTTTACTGTATTGTATATTGTATTGGATGGGTCGGCTATTCTCTCTTTGCAGCCATGGGCTGAATTGTGAGGAGCTTACAGTTACAATATATTGGGGCTTAATTAATTGCAAAGGTCTGGAGCGGCTGCTACTAGTATTTGGCGCTAACTCAGTCAAGTGACATATAAGACAATAAGGTTTGAACCACTCACACTGGAAAGGTCCCCTATTCTTTTCGATAAGTGTGGTGGGATCTTTAACGTGCTTGAGATGTGGCTCTCCCCAAACACTATCAGAAGGACGTCCCTAACCAAAGCTAGGTACTCATTTCCACCTGAGCGAGGTGAGGAAAGCCATGTAGCTCAGGTTCTTTGATTTTTCTCGAAGACAGGAAGCATCTCACACCTGGCGAGGAGTGATTGACAGGTGTTACAGACGAGCGTGTCGGTACGTGACAGGACTGCTCAGTTCCGGCCGTACTTAGCCTGGCGCTGGGGGTAGTGTTAACGGAAGGCACCGGTGCGTGGAGAATGTGTGTAGACATGCTAATGTTAGCTGGCGTGGATCCTGTTGTGTTCAACTTCAGTTGTTCTCAATCTCAGGGAGCGTCCGTACACGGATTGTTGCAGCTCTAGACTACAGCAAAGTAGTACTGGTCCGAACTGTACACCGTAGTAGTATATGTCTTCAGTTTTGCCGTTTGGAAAGTTCTTTTCAAGAAGTGGCCCTTCCTGCACACATTGTCACTGCTCCACAGCAAAGTATTACTGGTCGGAATTCTACATCGTAGTACATTACATGTCTTTAGTTTTGCTGTTGGAAAGTTGAGTTTTGTCTGGAAGGATGTGCCGGTCCAGGTATGAGCAGTTCAGGTATGGACTTCTGTTCGTAAGATTTAAAACTGTACATTCAAGGATATTTACGCTTTTAACTTCGGTGTCCTTGAATTTTGAAAAGTAGTTTACGATGCTAGGAAGTGTTTTGTTTGATTTTGAAACTTTTTAGCGTGCTGAAAATACTGGTAATAGAAGTATGTGTTTACATTGTTTTCTCATTCAATAGTGCTTTTAAACACTTGAATACCTTTATTGACCTTTACATAATTTATTTGTTTAAGAGAATATTCAACACTTGAAACAGTTTACACTCCTCCCAACTGTCATTGCGTAGACTTAGAGATGTCAAACTTTTGACCCAAATTAAGAATCCAATTTCTCTCCCAATACTCCCATTCATGAGACAGTTTTCAGCAATAGACCAGTAATATGCCACAAATCAACCTGTCTCTCCAGGATTGATGATGGCACAACAGATTTTGTCCCCCGGGGACACCCAGAATTATGTGCCTAGCCTCGCAATAAACTCATAATCAATAAGCGTTACCACCTACATGTTGATTTATTCAATTCTGTTGGGTAACCTGTGGATTTTCATGTCATCTCCAATCAATTTTTCTTATTCTATTTTTTAAGATTGTCAGAATATTGTGTTTGCTGGTAACCTGAAAATTTTTTTATTGAGTTTTGATTTTTATGGATGTTTTTCCCAATGGACTGTTATATACCTGTACTACTGTACAAATGTAGGTCACTGTTGACAATAACATTTGTATGTTAATTACTGAAATTGCTGAATGGATGATTTTGATAGTGATTTTCATTGCTATGTTTTCCATAGAGACTCGTTGCACTATGTGACGTACCTGTATGTTTATTACTGATGTTGGTGAATAGATGATAATGATTTTCAGGCATTCCCCTAGGGACTTGGACTATGTGAAGTACCTGTACAACTGTAGGTCTGTAGTTCCTGAATGAATGATAACTGTAGGTTTATTGCTGAAGTTGCTGATTGGATGATAATGATTTTGCTTTTGGCATGCATTTCCTCAGGGACTCCCCTTACTATGTAGGTCACTGTAGGTTTATTACTAGTACTACTGGTAAAGTTTTGATAATTATGTATATAATCTTTTTTTAATGTTTTTCCACGACAATTGGTTAGACAGAGAAAGATTGTGACATATCTAGGTTTATTACAGGAGCTGAATGGATGATAATGATTTTGCCATGGGACTCCCTTTGTTGGTTTATTACTGAAGTTTCTGATTTTTCATTGCTATGTTTTCTGTAGGGACTCCCTGGACTATGTGACGTACCTGTATAACTACTGTTCTGACATGGTGTCCAAACTGACGGCCTCGCCGGAGCAGAGGAGAGTCCAGATGGAGCAGGGCAGGAAGCTCAAGGCTTTCGAGGACAGGTGTATACAGGTGAGGCTTGTGGCTAAGGAGTCTTAGGAATAGCCTGTGAACCCCTTCTCAAGACTATATTGGGGCATTTGAAGACAGATGTTAGCAAGGCTTTTAAAGGCAGGTGTATACAAGTGAGGCTTATTTTCCGAAAATATTTTCATCAGGTGGGGTCGTGTGGCATAACGGCTCGGAACCAAGAGGTCCGGGGTTGGAATCCTGCCATGTCACCAACCTTGTGCCCTTGGAAAAAGCACTTTACACGACTTTCCTCACTTTGCTCAGGTGAAAATGGGTATATCAGAATGATTATTATCATCCGCTGCTACAATGTATCTGTAGCCAATGTAGGTGGCACTTTTGCGGCAAGAACACAATCCCAAACAAAATATCCAAATACCTTGTTTCTTCTTTGAACCTATGACTCATGTTTGTTTAGCATACGTGCAGAAATGTGTATTGTCGTTCCCATGAACGTATGTTTGCATGGTGAACCTATAATGTTCCATGCTACATGTCCGTAACACAAAAACTTACATGAGAAATGTACAAGAGTTTATGCTACATGTCCAAAACACAATAGTTTAAAAGTCAAGCGATTTTATCAACCATAGCTTTCTACAATGCGTCAAGCAAATTTAGCCTGGTATCCATGGCACATGTATGTAACACAAAAACATATATCATAAATCTACAACAGTTTATGCTACAAGTCCACAACACAATAGTTTAAAGTCAGGCGATCTTGTCAACCTTAGCTCTTTACGTACGTCAGTCAAACTTACCCTGACTGAATATGCAGCAGACGCAAAAAAAAACATACATCATAAATCTACAAGGGTTTATGTTACTAGGTAGGCAATTCTTACACCCAGACAAAAATTCGAACTAGATGGAACTGATACACCAGATTTAACTTGAAAAGAAACAACAGGAAGGAAGAACTTCAAAGGAAGACAAGAAAAACAGGTGTCACAGTTCACCGAGTCTGAGAGTCTTCCTTTTGACCTTGAGATCCTTCCCTTTCACCTTGACACCTTGAAGGATGTGGTTCCTTAATCCCTTAAGGAATTGTTTCCGAAATTCAGAGTAAACAAGTGCCTATCATCCTGTGTTCTGCTGCCCTTCCTAGAAACAGGCGTGTCTGCTGCATATTCAGTCAGGGTAAGGTTGATTCACGTATGTAGAGAGCTAAGGTTGACAAGATCCCCTGACTTTCAACTTTTGTATGGTGGACATGTGTATGCAGGTTACCGGTAGCGCAGGTAAAATTGGGGCTGTGCAGGTATTTCTGATGTCTACTTGCACCTAACCTGCACTGGTTCATGTACTGGGTATATGCAGGTTAGTGCAGCTGGTAAAATTGGGACTGTGCAGGTATTTCCATTGTCTACTGCACCTAACCTGTACTGGTCCATGTACTGGCCATTGGTATATGGAGGTAAAATTGGGGCCGTGCATGCATTTGTGATGTCTACCTGCACCCAGCATTTGAATCATCATATTGTCCCTTCAAAACCACCTTATTCCGTAGGAGCCACCCAGTTGCTTGAATATTCCATAAATGAAATCCGGTATGAATCATAAGGAATGTTTCCAGGAAAGCATCGGGAAGCTTTTCCATCTCATTCTTATTCCCCGTGTGTCTGCTGATGATGGTCCCGGAAGCTTTGACCACGTTCAATCAAGCTCTTACCTCCCAAGGCCTAGGAAAACAAATGTTGTGTTTCTTGTTCCCCGACCGACCCTAAAAAAACCTGCCGACCCTGGACTTTTTTTGGGGGTGGACCCTTGCAAGGGACATAAATTATTTAATTTTTTGAGCTAATCAACCTTTTCTAGGGCCATGATCTGACACCTAAGTGATGAAACGTTGTACAATTGGTTTTCTAACATTGACATTGAAAATAAATGTGTCCTCATGCAAGTTTTACTTTGTTAAACTGTATTGTATAAATTGGATCCCTATATAAAAATCACTGAAGTCTTTAAAAAAAAAACCTACCTACTGACCGTAATTTTTTCAGGACTGAAACAGGAAACACAACATTTATTTTCGTAAGCCCAAGCAGACCTGGGGCTCAATTGCTATAATGAGATTTAGAAATGTGTCGTGCAGATTCAAACAATCTCATTATCCCCCTACATGTCCCATCTCGCTACCGGAATTAGAAAATGAAACAGGTTGTCATCCCGTGTTTGGGATGCGGCTTTTCACCTGTGAGTGGCAGGGCTGGTTCATGTAAAACAACGGGAAGGGAGGAAGGAGTCAGAATACTCTTCAATCAGAGGTTTGGGCTATGGCTTATTTTTGTGTGTTTTTTTTTACTATTTTAGACATTTTTCTTGGGTTTTCTTTTTGTACTGGTATCATTTTTTAACCCCATTGCAATTGGCAAACGAATACTGCCATCCGATCCACTACTCTCCCTCAGTCAGTTTTCTTGTGTATTTCGTTTGTTGTCTAACCTTCACCAAAGCCAACCCCCCCTCGTCACGATTTTTTTAATGAGGATGCAAGGATTCTAATACTTTGTAGTTTCGCTGTGATTTTTTTCAATCCTTGCCAGGGTACTATTCTTTGGCTGTCAGTTCAATACAGTAGTATCTATAGCCCAATAGTTGATTATGGGCAATCAAATTGGCTGTAAAACACCCAGGATGGCACCCAGTGTGCTGTCATACCATACCACCCTCCTAATGTAACATGTACTCAAGCAACTGGATAAATTTTGAAAGCTGTCAGACGTTTCAAGTGTCATCCGGATCCACTACTGCTCATCAGTCAGTTTTCTTGTGTATCTCGTTACCTGGTGGTCTAACCTTCGCCAAAGATTTAAGATGTGTTTATTACACATTCGCAGTGACCCTCCTGGTCACCGAATTGCAGACAATTTACAATTCATTTAAAACTTAATTCTATGTTAAAATTTCACATTACAACATTACAAAATGATACTAGTGTATCTTATTACAAGATAGCCCCCCCCCCTCATGTTATCCTGCACCAGCCCTGATCACACATCAGTATGTGATGCATGGATCCTCGCGTGTAGCCCGGCGGGTGCAGGGGTGAATAACTAAAACGCCATCAGACGTTCGGATACCCATTTGGAAGGCGGGCGGGGAGGGAGGGATTGCATCACGCATGCCTGGTCGCTTCGCCGCTGACTCAGAATGGACGTGACTTATCAGGGAAACCAGCGACTACGTTGCTCAATTTCTCGTTCCGTTAGACTGTCATGTTGTCTTCTTCTTCTACACACGTGATGCGATCGTTTTGGAGCAAAACCAGGGATGTCGCGTTTTTTTACTGGCAGAATTTCAAGGTGAGATTGAACCGTCTTAACCCTGGATTTCGACAGGACGTGGAGGAAGGATGGTTCCTGTATGGTCTAATCTGTTCCCATTTCCATCTTGTTTATCTGCGTTTTAATCTAGGTTTTAGGTTTAATACTAGTACTCTGACAATGATGAATGCTTCAATTGTGCTGAGATGGGTTTATCCATCCGTTATGTGGGACGATATTGATATCACCGGTCATATTTATTATGGGAAGTCATTTTCCAAATTTCAAGGCTGCCACGTACAGGAGGCTGTGCATTTCCACTCGTCAACAGCTGTGAATCTTCATGTTTGTTGTCTGTTTTGATGTGTTTGACTCGACATGTAGATATCACAGATTGATATGATTCCAGATTTCTAGAGCATGTATAGTCTGTAAACTAGATGTCCTGTGTATAATCCATATGGCTACACCAATTTCTGCATTGTTTTATAGCAAGATGACTCCATGAAAAAAGAAGAAAAATGGCCCTATTCACGCTTTGAGTACAGTTCAGTACATGCATTTTTCCTGGACTCTGAATTGTTAATATTCTAGATAAGCGTTTATAATTTTGTCAAATTCAAGAATCAGCAAAGTGTTGTATTGCCTGTCTGTAAGCTTGTACATGTATAACACCATGATTGCTGAACACTAGACATGGCAGTTTTATAGTAAGATGACTCCATGAATTCAGAAGGAGGAAAAATGACCATATTCAGTCCCTGAAACAGTAGATGCATTTTTCTTGTTTATATTCCAGATAAGTGTTATTTTGTCCAATTCGAAAATCAGCATTAGTGTTGTATGGCTTGTCTGCAAGCACCATGAATGCTGAACATCAGATATGGCGGCTGCCAATTTCATCACAGTGTTTTATAGCTAGATGACTCTATGAAGAAGAAAAAATGATCCTATTCACTCCCTGAAACAGTACATGCTTATCCAGTGTTATAATGTTAAATTTGAGAATCAGCAAAGTGTAGTTTGTACATGGCCTGTCTGTGAGCTCGTATAGCACCATGAATGCTGAACACCAGATATGGCGGCTGGCCAGTCTCCAAAATGGCCAGACTCCTTCTCCAGGCAACTTCAGTCAGTCCTCTATCGATCTGCTGTGGTACGTGGAAGGAAAAGCCACTTAGTCCACAGAATACATCCCTGTGAAAATACGCTGCTAACAAATGAACTTAGCGGCAGGATTAACAGGAACTGTAATTGACCAGGCTGCGGGCTGAATGAAGCCAAGAGTTGGGTAATGAAGACTTTGATTGGAGGATGCAGCACTGGTCTCTTTGGATTTGGACAGTCATTTTCTTCCGTGTAGCTCAATGGGCTGAGCTTCCATATTGGAGGACCAAATTATATTTTATTTTATTCTAGTGTCGGATTTTTTTTTAAGTAGAAGGCATCTGTGTGCATCTTCACTGTGTACGTAATCTTAAAGGTACAATGATACATATAGGGAACATATTCTTTCAATATAAAATGAAAAGTTAACATATGCAGAGAAAATATTACTAGAGATACTTGACTCACTTATAGTGCTGCCATCTCTCAAGATGGAAGGATGCCTACTACAGATATTAAAAATTTTGGTCCGTTGTTTATTTACTTTCTGTAGTTAGCTTCTGTGCATTGATTCTAGCCACATCAGCAGTATTTCAATAGCTTTATTAGGCTGTAGATATTATTAGCTGGTACTGCTTAGAGTCAACCAAGCGTTGAAGTCTCCAATATGAGGTTATAGGGTCAATTGACCAGCCTCTACATTTTCATATATTTGACAGCAATCCAAGTCATTGCTCCAACACCAGTTTGGTTTTCTGTTATAAAAAAAAAGGAATTTTCTGTTATCTGTATAGACTGTTCATGTCATCTTTCCTCCTGTATAGGATTACTGGAAGTAGAGTCCCTTTCTGATATGATGATAGTGTTAACTTTCACAGCGATTTCATTTTATTGCGATTTTTGCAGTGACCTCTTCACCACAAATTCGTTACACCATAAATATGCTACTGTTTTACTACAGTGAGGCTTCATTGACCCAGTGTTGACGTCACACTTCAAAGAAGCCTTGTGACAAGCCTCACTGGGTCAGTCTACTGAGGAAGACCAGAGTTTTAACTTTAAACATGCAACTATCAACACAGATGAACTTTCATGATAGTAGTTAGAAACACCTGTTCCTCACCTGCCTGTCTCCCTCCTCAGGTGTTGTCCTGGGTGCAGAACGAGGGTGAGGTGAGGTTAGAACGTCTCTCGGAGCCGGGCGACTCCCTAGACGCCATCAAGAACACCACCAAGGAGTTCGAGAGATTCTACTATCAAGCAATGGTGAGTGGGAGATGCTTCTTATTCATTCTCAGGGGAGATAACCAATACAGTGTTCAAATAGGAAAATACATTAAAGAATGTTTCGATCTTAGAGAACACATGTCAGAGAATAGTTAGCCATTATTGTTACATCATATATTTGTACATATACTCTGTAAGTAAGATGACGTTACCCACATATGTACAAAATGTATCTAGCTTTGTTAGATCTTTAGTTAAGTTGTAGAAGACCATACAAAAGTCTCTGTACTTTTTTTTGTGAATAAAGAATCTCTTTATAATCTCCAAGCAGGTCATACGGTGGCAAGGCAGTATCCACTGGCCAGAGGTGTGTCCATTAGTCACCGGATGGCCAATGGATACTGACTGGCCAATTTGATACTGTCTTTTGCGTCCAACAAAAGATCTGCTTGGAGATTACTTCTTTGGCTCTTCAAGCAGATGTTTGGTGGATCGAAATGTTTTATGACTTTTCCGATGCCTACCTTTGCTGACATCCACTACACAAACTGTCAGAAAGGCCCAGCAGTTAGAAAATGTTGCAGTCCAACCAGACATCTGCTTGGAGATTTGTTTCTTTTAACCCTCATTCTACTAATGCAGTGTATTGGTAGGACGTTTATTTTGTTAATGTAGAAAATGTTATAATAAGCAGGTACTCTTATAATTATTATGCAAGATACACAGTCTTGCCAAATAGTAAAAATATCATCATGAAGTGCTGCACTGGGCCTGCAGTACAGTTTGATTCGTTGTCACCCCCTTTTTTTTTTAAGTTAATTTGTATAACCCAATTTTTTGAACGCACAGGTAATACCTATGGGGAGATCTGTAACCCAATTTTTAGAAGCACAGGTAATACCTATGGGGACAGCTATATGCTGCCTTGCCGGGAGGTTTATCCTTATCACCAATGCTTCAATCTCTTGGTTATAAAAGTGTTTAGCCTGGGGTCATTTCGCACCTCGGCGTGAAACTCCCATCACGTTCTTACGAAGGTCTCGGTGACCTTCATAACGTTTACCGTGTACGCGCGTGACCTCTGAGGATGACCTCAATTTCGAAGTTGAGTGTCATCATTTTCCTTGAGTTCGTGGTGTCAAGCTAATCTTGGGCCTAGGAAAAAAAATATTGCGTTTCCTGTTGCAGTCCTGAAAAAACTTAGGGTTGGTATAGGTACGGATTATCTTTTTTTTTCCAACTTATACAATACAGTAAAATAAAGACTGAACTTTAACTTCCAACACTAGATATAGAATTGGGACTTACCCCAAATTTTTACCCCAAACCCCAGTATTATACAATACAGTTTAACAAAGTAAAACCTGCATAAGGACACTTTTATTCTCAATGTCAATGTTAGAAAACCAATTGTACAACGTTTTATCACTCAGGTGTCAGATCATGGAGCTAGAAAAGGTTAATCGCTCGAAAAATTATGTTCCTTGCAGGGATCCACCCCCCAAAAAAAGTCTAGGGTTGGAAGGTTTTTCTAGGGTCGGTCGGGAAACAGGAAACACAAAATTTTTTTTCCTAGGCCTTGGTGCTCATCTTCAGTAAATGTATAATTTATTCGGCATTACTGAGACATATTGCTGTAGCTTTCTTCCCGAAATTGGGTCGTAAATTTTCTTTGTTGTTCGCCGTGTTTTTGACATTAACGTGACGGCCTTTAAGCTTTATGGAGGCACGGAAATACGTCAGGCTTGAAATTGAAAGGAGAAAAGAAGTGCACATAAATTTGAGAAGTAGGAATCTAGGTCACCGTATTATTTCTGATCGTAAAGTAGAATTATATATAATTTATGGTTTTGACTTGTTTTTGTATGTAGTTACTAACCACACATGGATAAAAAACCAAGCATTAGCTTTCCTAGTCACCTATGTCTTCAAGCATCTTAGTTCAATGCTTATAGAATTGGTCTTGTGTTACTAGTATACTGTAAGCAAGGAGGTCTCTTCCTGCATTGAACAAACCCGTTCAAAAAACTTTACCTACCATGCCCCCCGTACAAAACTCACATGGATCAGCCCCCTCAAACAGGAAGTTTGCAGGACTGGTACAAAGGTTTGCTTTAATCTGTCCACAGAATGACTTTTACTCCATCAACACTACCAACTCCTGGCCCCTGTTTGCACTGCTTTGTCATCAAGTGTTGGAACAAACCTTCGTATCAACAGCTCTACATGTATGTCTTGACTGAGCAAAGTACGGTGTATGCACGCGACAAACATGACATTTGGCGTCAAATACAACTAAATAATGATCTTTCAATTTGCTCTAATCCTTCCAGTAAGTTCAAATTTGTGAACAAGGTTGTTCATTTAAAACACAGGTTTCATATAGAATGCAGATAAATACTTTATTAGTAAAATTTTATGATATGAATATATTATGATATCACTAAAAAAACATTCATAAATTTGTGTAATTATATACAGCCTGAACAAGAATTATGCTAATATTCTAAGCTAGTAAGCTGTTCCATTTTTAACACCAGATCAACAAACTTCTCTATTTGTCTCCTCACTACATACTTAGCTGTCTTCCCTCCATAAACAAAGACTTGAAGCATGCTCTAAGGACCACTCCAAGGCTTCTTCAAGATGCTAAGTGCACACCTGACCACTCTGGGGGGTCTTTCTTACCCTTAATCCCTGCCAAACACCTGAATCAGCCCACTCAAGTCTGACGTACCGGTGATAGGTGGGAAACCTGATTTCATGGATGACATCCTGGGAAGAAGGGAATCAAAATTAAACCTAGAAACAAAGTCTCCATTTTCAATCAATCAATACACAAAATAGCAGGACCTAATAATCAATACTCACTTCCTAAAACCACTACCTGGAGAAGATAATATTTCATATCTCGTCTGTAGAACTGCCCAAATAACATCATCCAATCTGTTCTCAAGTCCGATGTAATCTTCCACAACAAATTCCTCTGCAATATCTGGGTCTGTGCTCTTAGTCATATTTTTAAACTGTTGTCATTATGTGTATTTCTATTTGTATGTTTTTTTTATATGGGCCACGGATGCCTAAAATAAAGAATACAGAAGAAAGAATGATAAGACAGGTGTGCCCAGGAAAGTAGGCACTTCCTTGAAGGTGGTTTCCTAGCTACCTTCCTTCAGGTGTCTGAGAGCAATTTGAAATTACACGTTTCAGCCCTCCTTTCACTTGCCTACAATGAACAGGAATAAGTCACTAATGATTTCTGGAAGTACACCTGAGGAAGCCCCTGGGACAGGTGGACAGGTGTGTCTGGAGTCAGTCTCCTTCCTTCCAGCTGGTTTACCCAGGTGACGTTAGAGGAGACAGAACAAGGATGTGGTCTGGGAGGTCGGTGAAGATTAGGGAGTGGACTAAAGCTAACAAGGCTGGGCTCCAGGATATAAAATTAAAGAACTGAAGGTTGATATGTATGTACCTGCATGCTGCAAAAACTCATAGGAAATTCAACAATAAATTACACAGATTCTTTCCCGATGTTTCAAGTGACATCCACCACTCTTCTTCATTGTCATAAGTCAGTCAACAACTTCATACAAATTTGTGAAACTCTTTTCTTCCAAAGGAGACTCTAAGACACTCTATATTTAGAACAACAAGTGCTCAATCTCCATTAATCACACAGGTGTTTCCAGGTTGTGCCTAGTGATGGCATCACCTGACAGGTATTTGCCAAGTCAGTTTACCTGCGACAGGTGAAAACAAGCGACGCTATTATTAGCCAAACTGTACAGGAGAGAGTCCAGCGTGCCATGGAGGGCCCTGTACTCCCAGGTGAACTGTACAAACAGTACATTTGTAAGTCGGTAATCGGAAAGTGTCAGAGACAGACTGAACCAGATTGGGTAAACATGACCCACATCTGAAGGCCTGCCATGGGAGTTGAAATGATGGCTGGAGTGAAAAAGGCTGCAAGCTGGATTCCTTTTTGACATCTTCCAGAAAAGCAAGATGTACCAGTCTTCTAAATGACCTATATCTGAAGGCTACTATTACACTGCAAGCACGTCTAACCCTCCGAAGACTGGGAACAACAGACCATAAACTGGATAGTGAGTGTGTGAGTGAGTGAGTGAGTGTGTGAGTGAGTGAGTGAGTGAGTGAGTGAGTGAGTGAGTGAGTGAGTGAGTGAGTGAGTGAGTGAGTGAGTGAGTGAGTGAGTGAGTGAGTGAGTGAGTGAGTGAGTGAGTGAGAGTGACCATGGGAATTGAAATGATGGCTGGAAGGAAAAAAGGCAAATTTTTGGAAAAGATTTTGAAAAAAATGTAAATTTCTCAGCAACTCTTTTTTGGCACATCTTATTACCTGGATGTCAAACCTTCACCAATGTAGAAACCATCATCTGTCAAGTATCCTGTTACTTCTTCAACATGCACAAGAGAAAGGTTTGATTCTGTCCACTGGAGGTATTCATTCATGGGAAAAGCTTTGTGGAGAAAAAACTCTTGTCAGCAGCCTGGCCAAGCGTGAGGTTAATTGGACGAAGATCGTTAACGACTTGTAAAAGAGTCAATAGGACGAAATTAGGTCAATGTGTCCTTGCGGTAAGAGATCTAGTGGTTGGGACAAAAGGCATGTGGGTTGTGTGTGCCTGAATGGGTCGGCACTAGTGAGAAATGCTGGTATTGCAAGCAGGTCAACTGTGTTTGATTCTGTCTCCTAGCTCTTCTTGTTCACTATTCTAGTAACAGGCATGTTCTATTCAAGATAAGTTACTATCAGGCCAGTCTCTCTCTCTCCAAGACTTAACAATTTTGGTTGGAGTTCTTCATCTTTCAAGTGGTACTTTTTTTTTTTAAAAGACACTGACGAAATTCAAAATTGGCTGACTAGAGGAGGGGGTCCTTCCAAATATGTGGAGACAATGCTCTTGACTGACCTGACCTAAAGGCTAGCTAGGGAATATGTAACATGTAAAAGATGAGCGTCCTAAATCATATCATGGTCAGATTCTGTGGCTACATGTAGATTTAACAACTGGAAGGTGTACCATGGAAAAACCATAACACCTACTCTCCAAGCAGAGGTTGTGGGGAATGATCGTTACCTTTTTATATATGGCCGTTTTTTTTGTCCTGACCCCCATAGGTGGCCGCGGAGCTTCTCTGGCTAATGGATACTGCCTGGCCAATTTGATACTGTCTTTTTGCCACCTAGAGGGATCTGCTTGGAGATTACACAACACCTAAATACACACCTAAAGATACTAATAGTTGGTTAGTTTGTGAGAATGATAAAAGAAAGAATCATAAAGAATAGTACAAACAATAGGAAAAAATTGCTGCTTTGGAAAGGGCTTGAGTTATATAACTAACGAGTATTTATTTGAGAAATTAGCAGCTGTAACTTGACGAGTTCTTCCCTTGTTTTTTTTTAAGTGTATTTACCGGGTCTATCTGTACATGTACCTCTGGATTGATATGTTTTAATTTTTTTTGCATTAAGAGATGGTTCTAACTTCTCTCTCCTCTTTAGAGTTAGACCATTAGAATGGTGACAGTGCTTTGTTGGAATTTGGGCTGTTGTCATTTTCAGCATAAGCTGCATGACTACTGTTTATTTTAAGTGATGGATAAGTGTAATGCTCATGAATTATGCCCTGCCCCCCCCCAAAAAAAAATCATCAGCTGAAGAAGAGAACTAGTACACATGATACACAGTTCACTGCCCTACCGTAACATGAACTCAAGGTTGTCCCTTCTCTGGACGCCTTGCCCAAATCTAGACTCTCAATACCCGGATTAACTTCCAACAAAAAAACCCTTCTACGGCGGCTGATTTTCATATGAAAACACGGTGCTTCACATGCGCTATTTTCGTCCCATGTGGTGTGACCCTCTTTCTTCTTAACGGTTTATTTTTAGCTCTCCTCTTCTCTTCTGTCTCCCCCATCCTTCTTTCTTTGTTGTTCGTGGAACCTTTTCTTCCCGATTTCATGCACGGAGCGATGCAGACTCCATCCCAACATGTTCCACAGACCCTCAACCTGACCCTTTTGGCTGCAGGGTCAGCCCCTTTATACAGACCCTCTGTTCACCACCCTATCCCTGCTGGGTATGGGAAGTATGTGCCGGGGGCGGCCCCTAACAGACACTTTTGAGGGGTTTCGTGCTGCGGCTATTTCATGGCGCGTTTCCTTGTATTCAGGTAGTCTGCAGGCATCTTGCCTGCAACAACGTATACACTACCCTTTCCAATGCTGTCTGTGTTTAGTACTATGCATGCTCGGTTAGTCAGTGCAGCGCTCCACACTTTTGGCTCGCGTCGACGACAGAACAGGGAACCTATCAAGGCCATTGTAAGTGATACGTTCCGTTTTGTTTGTTTGACTTTGACTGTCTGACACCGAAATTGTTGGCAGTTGAGAGGCACTTTTGCTTCCATTTTTGAATCTACTGAAGATTGAGCTAAAAAAACTCGTATGCATAGGGATGGAAGACACAGTTTCTGATTTTGTGATATTCGTAATTAGGAAAGTACGAATCGAAACAACAATAATAGAAACAAGAATTTGATACCAACTATCGATGCTTGACTCCAAAAACTCACATGGGATAAAGGGACAAGGGGATAAAAGTGACAGTTTCTGATTCTGCTATATTCGTTGTGAGGGAATTATAGTCATGGAAACAAGAATTTGACATCAAATTATTGACATGGCTGAGGAACAGTTTTGCTTGAATATGTGTAAATTCTCCATTGTCTGAAATTGATTTTGAGTCAGAGAACTCAAAGCGATATTTTGTAAGATTTTGACTATTTTAAACATTGTTGTTTTATACATTTTCTTGCGCTATAAACCTACCTAGGTTTATAATGACATTTGGGGAGTAAAACTCATCGTCATCAGAGTGAAAGTAATTTCTGATTCAGTGATATTTGTAATCAAAGTATTAATGGGATACAAACCTTAATGATAATGGAAACAGTATCTGTAAATCGCACAAAAGATTGACGTAGATGTGTGAATCCATTACGTACGTAAATCTGTGTGACAAGCCGTTATGGTAAATATGTACAAGCAGAGAATAGGAGGGAGACTGAGTGAATGAGATGTCACGATGACTGTTAGCTTCAGGGCGGAAGTACCAGTTTGCTCAGGTGCTGGGCCGATGGTCAAGCGTTGCCCGATTCTAAAGAAGATGTCGTTCGGGTCACCCAGTTCAAATGTCACAGGCCGGGGTTTAGGTCAGCGGCTTGTGGACATGCCTGGACAGGAGTAGACCCTTGTTGTCTTGGTAATGTTGTACAAATGTCAGGGTGTCTTTATTATAAACCCAGTTCCTTAGTCTGTTGGGAAAAGGGCATGAAGACCAGTTGATTCTTAGGTACTTTCCATGTGTAGCTGCCTTTTAAAGTTGGACAAGTTTTTGGTTCTCCTACGATCTGTAACAGCAGTCAGTAAGAGTTGAATTCTTTTTTCGTGTTGCAGTGTTCATTGCTGAAGTATTTACTAATTGGTAATGTTAGTCAGTTTTGTTCTTTGTTATGCTGCTTTATGTAAATTGCCATTGAAATTACTCTATGCCTAATGTCTGCCTGTGAACTTGAAGATAACATGACAGGTGTGATTTTTCCCATGGAAGAAACTACCATGTGCTGCTTTTGGAGGTTTATACTTTCCAAGGCTTAGTTGTACCATCTACCCAGGGCAGTAGTCATAGCCAGGAGTCCAGCCTTGTTAGCTTTACCCCCCCNCCCTC